GGGGGGGGGGGTCTGTGAAAATAATATCAGGCTTTTCCGTCAGAATGAACTTTACTACTGTATCCAGCCATGAAATAATCTGACCCGACACTTCAAACCATCTGCGCTATCTATCCGCCCTCTTATTTACTAAATCAGCCTGTGCACAAAACGGAGTGTGTCTGATACTAAAGCCGAGTAGCCTGGCAGGGCCATGATAGTCCTTTTATAGGCTGCACAAATATAACGTTTCTCTCCTGCTATGTTTTTGCAGCCATCGCAGTCTGGAGGAAGCCTCCCTGCGCTGATGCTGTCGGCACTAATACAACCCTACTGTAAGTAAAGGCAGATATAAAGTGCTGTACGAGCTCCAAACTGCCAATACACCAGCCATCAATTAGCCTTTGTTTTCGAAAAAGGAGCACGTATTCATGCCCCACGTAAAAAGAACATGCATCATCATAATTTAGCCCCTGATATAATTTATTAAGTTTAATGAATTATCACTTTTGTGAGGTTGAAAAATGCGGAAAGCCTCGACTAACTCTGTTCAAGGTTGCCAAGACTGAAGTTGGCTGCAAATTCACAGTCCTGTCGAAATAAAGGCCACATTGACCCTGAATGATTTCTACAGTTCAGCGTGGGAATATAGGCTTATATGGTTGGGGATATATCTGAGTATTAACAAACTATAACCTTATTTTAAAAAATAGAGGCATACATTTAAATTGAATAGAAACCATGTTGCTATGTGGTTCTTATGATATTGGAATATTATGAGTGGTGAAATAAAAAGATAGCCTATCATAAGTAAAGTTATTATAAAAAAAAACCACTATTTAGTTGTCTAAATTCACCAGTATAATTCTCAATTGTGTAAATAAGCTTTAATATTGTCTAAAATGTACTAATATTATTTACGTATTTTCCCCTTAGGGCAGGACAGACAGGGTAGGGTGTCATATTGCTGTGTAAAGCCCGTTTCAAGAGCTCTGAAGGGAGACTGAGCTGAGCGTGTTTGCCTGCTTTGGCACTTGTAGTTAAAGAGTCTTTCTTTAACACCGCCCGCCGCACAAAGGCAGAGGGTGTTTGGAAAGCACGGCGGGGCAGCTAAACGTTTGAAGACGCGAAGCAAAAAGGTCAAAATGTTTATATTATTTTTGAAAAGGGAGGTGCTGAGATCTCCTTTACGCCTGATTGGCCGAACTTGACAGTGATTGACGTGCATCCATGGCAACCGGGCAGCCAATCTGCCAAGTCCAATAGGAAATCATCGGAGGGGGCTTGACTGTCTTTTTCTCCCCCCTTAAAAAATACATCTCGGCTCCAGCTTTAATTCTTTCGTACTTTCAATCCCAGCCTACCTTGAAAAATACATCGTGGCTCCGGCTTTAATTTCCCTTGCACCTTCAGCCCTTTGCCCGCCGAAGTTTGCCAAGCCTGAGGATGCGGTAGCCGGCCCCCACGCAGCATCGTTCCTCCTCCGCGGCGTTTGGCGTTTGCGTTTTCCACGGCTGGTCAGACGATTGGTTCGGTAACTTTGGGATTGCCTTGTTTTTTGGGTGCCTTGGACTGCCTTGGCGCACGGGAACGAAGAAGCGGAGGAGTCGACGCGGAGGAGAGAGAGAGAGGAGAAAGGAGGGGGAGAGAGGGAAACACAGGAGAAGCCTCCATGTTTCAGCTGCCCATCTTGAATTTCAGCCCCCAGCAGGTCGCCGGGGTCTGCGAGACTCTGGAGGAGAGCGGGGACGTCGAGCGCCTCGGCCGCTTCCTCTGGTCGCTGCCCGTCGCGCCAGCGGCCTGCGAGGTCCTCAACAAGAACGAGTCGGTGTTGAGGGCCCGGGCTGTCGTCGCCTTCCACACCGGCAATTTCCGCGAACTTTACCACATCCTGGAGAACCACAAGTTCACCAAAGAGTCGCACACAAAGCTGCAGGCGCTGTGGCTCGAAGCGCACTACCAGGAGGCTGAGAAGCTGCGGGGACGCCCGCTGGGGCCGGTGGACAAATACAGGGTGCGGAAGAAGTTCCCCCTACCCAGAACCATTTGGGATGGAGAGCAGAAAACCCACTGCTTCAAGGAGAGAACCCGGCACTTGTTAAGAGAATGGTATTTGCAGGATCCCTACCCGAATCCCAGTAAAAAGAGGGAGCTTGCACAGGCTACAGGACTTACACCCACACAAGTAGGAAACTGGTTCAAAAATCGCAGACAAAGAGACAGAGCGGCGGCTGCGAAGAACAGGTGAGCTACATGCACCTCTCGGCTGCTTTCTGATCATCATAGCTGCAACAGAAAAACAAATTATTTTGGGAAAATACCACCCTGCATCCTGAGATTTAATAGGCATTCAGTTTTAATATAGCAACGCATGCCAAAGCCCACGCTGGCTGCACACATTCAGTTCAGATTTGTCTGGATATTAGATCCAGAATCATCCTGTAATCCTAAAATCAGGGGATTTCTTTTCTTTTCTAATAAATGCTGCTCGCAGTGTCTGTAATGACATTATATTTTGAGTCGGTTGAAATGCAAAAAAAATGGCCCAAAAAAATCCAATGATTTCATTTTAATTTCATTTTTGTTTTGGATTAATGTGAGAACAAAGCTCGGATTCATTATTTTTTTAAATAGTGAATAAGATTAACACAATACTGGAGAACAACATCCATGCTAACATGAGGAGTAAGCTACATTTTCGTGTTATTCTATGCTTATTTTGATTGTTAGTGCAACCCAGTAGGCCAGTGCATCTGTAATGATAATAATCTAACAGCTTCAGTGTATTTTAATGGATAAAATACGCAGTAATTTCCAAATAGGATTGTAGCCAGTCTGTTAAAGGCCTTGTGGGTGGAGTTCACACTGCTGTTGGTCATGTTTAATACAGATAAAATAATATTAATATTCCAGTAGGTATTAATAGTGAGTGGTACAACCTATAGTTTACAGTAATTGGTGAGATATTCCTGAAATTATCCTTAGTCTTATCGTATCTTCTGTAAATAAGCGATCTTGCTGTGGTACTTGTAGCCTACAGTAAAATGTAGCCTATATTAGTGCTATTTGTTTTTATAAGGGGTATTTTAAACCCTGAGTACCGTAAAAAGGCCACTTTAACCTAATGTAATGTTATAATGTGTGTTTTTATAAAAGTGAAAAAAAATCCAGTTAAGAACAATTTGTTTTTGTTTTTTTTAGACCGTCAGAAAAATAAAGAAATAAGAAACACACATCCGAAAAATACAAAATAGAATGACCCTCAGTTCAAGAACATCCATGGGAGGATAATCATTTCATTCTCATTCATTTTTCTTTCTTCCAAATTGTTGTTCTCAGTCAGAAAAATATATAATTTATGGGATTGTGATGGAAAGAATGAACGCTGTAGATGTCTTTTTATATGTCCCGTCTCTCCCTTGTCTCCTGTCCAGGCTCCAGCAGCAGGTTCTGTCCGGCGGCTCGGTTCGCTCTCTGGCGGACGAGGACGGCACCGTGGACCGCCTGGGGAACTCGTCCAGTCCGGAGGCCAGCCTGTCCAGCAAAGCAGCCGCCTCGGCCATCTCCATCACCTCCAGCGACAGTGAATGTGACATCTGACGGGCAGATCGAGGGTGTTGATGAATTTAAAGGGGGATACGACTGAAAGACAATCTAATAAAACAAGTCATAGTGCCTGCGTTGAGTTATAAAAACACACACACACACACAAACTGATATTTGACGGGTGCCAAAACATGAGGGGATCTGTGATCTGCGGCGGACTGCCCGTCCTTATCCTTTTTAGGCCTACTTTTTTTGTTTTGTTTGCGTTTTACCCACGTGTGGATAACTGAACTTTAATATGGACGAAACATATTTGACGGACTAATAAACCAACGCCCCGAGATGAAAAGTAAAATAAAAAAAAACAAGAAGAAGGAAAAAAAAAAAGGGATGAAGGCATCCGAGCGCCTAACCTGCTGTTCTCTGTGGGTATTTCATGTTGAAAAAGAACTGTGATATTTTTACTTTACTTTCAAAGTTTTATAAATAATGTTTATTTGCCTATTTAAAAAAAAAAAAACGATCTGCTCTGTCTCTTCGAATTTCATATTCATTTGCTTGGTGTTTTTAATACTTACCTTGTACACAGGTGAACCTGTTGAGCATGCGCGCTTTAGTGAAAATGTGTTTCAGTAAAAGGAAAAAAAAAAGAAGAAAAAAAGTAAAGATAACTTAATAAAAATAATTGTTGATCAAGAGAATATAAAGTTTAGTCTATTTTTTATTGCTGTAATGAAGTGATGACAGTTGTAAAATATTAATATTCTTATATAAAAGCTCTCTTTCCGCTGTTTTCATGCGGAGGAAATTTTTCGTGATTATAACGCTTTAGTGCTGTATTCCCTGACACGTTTTCAGAGCGAAGCTTAATTGGCCAACGTGCTTTGCGTCCTGTAATGCAGGGTGACAGCGAGAGGTCACAGAGAGGCCGACTCACTAACCCGGATGATCTGCGAGAGAGATCATAGAGATGAAAACACAGCAGATTGTGGAAATAGGCTTTATTCTGCCCGTGGAGGAGGACAGATACTACTTCTTAAATCTCCCAAGTGTCCATTTTCCCAAGAGTTTAATTCAGTAAACAGGCCGTGCATGGTGTAAATGTGCTCCTTAAATGAGCACGGAAAAAGGGCTGCAGCCCCACTTATGACAGGCTTATTTTGGCTAAATATCTTATTTTGTGTACCATTTTAATGTACGAGTAATGTTAAAATACAAATTATATCTGTTGGGACAAAATAGCCTTTTTGTTGTTGTTTTTTAATTGATTTTTGTTTTGTAATTCGAATTGGCTTGTTTATGTGCTTGATTTTAAATCTAGCAATTACATGTTCACACTTAAATCAACACAATATTCGTCCATTTTTTTCCTCCAGTGGTGTAAAGCTACTTTTTCTGTTTAAAGACTTATTTTTAAGCTAATATTTTTTATATTTTTTTATTTATTTGCTGTAGCATCTTCCCAAACCTAAATCTGGAATTAAAATATCCCCTTCCAGATGGAAAAAACAATCAGTAAAATATATGTACATGCACAGGGTATTATCAAACATTTCTACTGGGCTATAAATAGACATTAAATCAGAACAAACAGTGAAAACAGGATAAGAGCAAAGTGAGCAAAGCAGCCTGAACCAGAAGTTAAAGTTGAGCTTTTTTTTCCAACTGATGGGACAGACACCTGGTTTTGTCCAATTTGCAATTAATTAGGCTACAGTAACTTCTGAGACACACAAAAGCCTTTCAGCTTGAACAACACAGAAGCTAAATCTGTATGGAGAAAGAGAGAAACAGAGAGAGGAAACGAGTGAAGGGAAATAAATGGGATGGGGGAGTTCTTTTTTTTTCCTCTTTCTCTCTCTCTCTCTTTTTTGCTGCTGCTCCTCTTTCAAATCACGGGGACAAAATGGCTGAATATTTCCGTTTCTATTGAAAATAAGGACGACCGAGGGACTAGATGAAAAAGTCTTTCTCGCAGTCAATAAGGTTGTCAAACTGGTCAGCGGTAATCAGTGCTAATGATGGGTCTGGGGTCCCCGCTCGGACAAAAGGGGCCCTGCCGCTGTTTTGTAAAGGGAAGCGACCGCGGGTCCCTCTCCAAAGAAAAGACTCCTGTGAGGGTAGTCTGGGGCGCGGAAATCACAACTTCTCCACTGTGTGTGTGTGTGTGCGTGCGTGCGTGCGTGTGCGCTCCAGTGTGAGCTCATGGCTTGGCTCTTATTAAAAGGATTTAATTACTAGTTTGTTTTCTGACGTATAGCCTTGCTCGTATAGGCGCACATCAGCCATTCATCAGTGATTACATATAGCATCTGTAAATGGAAATTATAATTTTTTATTTCCAAACTCGTGGCATTGTGGAGAAAACATTTCACCCTGTTATTTTGTCTGACTGTATGTTTACGCTGATCTGACTTCACCAACTCTTTCAGAGTATTTTGACAAGTTAAAGGTTGTCAGATAAGTGCGGTTATCTTGCGTGAGTGGAGGCTCTCTCAGCGTTGGTTGTGATAGGCTATGTGTTGAGGGCAAAGGTGGAATGTAACTAAGTACATTTACTCAAGCACCGTACTTAAGTACAAATTTGAGGTTCTTGTGCTTAACTTGAGTACTTGCATTTAATGCTACCTACTTCCACTCCACTACAGAGGTGAATATTGTGCTTTTTATACATTTGTCTGACATTTAGTCACTTTTCAGATGACAGTTTTCCATATTCTACCTTCTTAAGTTAAATAAACTATCTAGAAACCCTCTTGAATTGGCTGTAAAATGCATTCTCACAGAGGTGAAAACAGGGCTGTTTTTTTTAAGAGTGGTAGAATATGATACACTGCTGTGGATTCAACCACCAAACAGTATATAAAGTAGTCACAATGAGCTCAACCCTAAACATCTACAGTAGTAAATGCAACATATACTCATTAATGCAGCAGTAATATTAACCCCAAAACATCAGATATAACAGCAAAACATAGGCTATTACTGCACAATGAGTAGGGCTGCTTTTACGTTATAGATACTTTATATAAGTATTTACACAGCGTGGTACTAGCACTGTTACTGAGGTAAATTATGTATAACCTACATTTCTTCCACCACTGGTTAAAGAGAGGGGGTTCGGCCTTGTCTATACGTCTTTATTGTTATTGAATATGTCAGCATCGTTCAGTGTGCAGCCACTCTGAAACACAGTAGTTTGTCAGCAAGTGTCTGCTCATACATGACAGCCTGCCTGTGTATCTGTGCAGATCTGATGCCTTAGCTATTTTCGATAACGCCTCAAACCGTTTAAATATTTCATTTTATAGCAAAATGTCTAGAAATACATCATTATTATTATATTCTACAAGTCCTAAGACTAATACTAATAGGCTACTAATTAATACTCGCTGTGGGTCAACTTCATTAAATGATACAGGAACAAATAAAAACATATAAGATTAAACATTAACGCATAGAGGACCCTGCGTAATGAAAGCGTTTCTACTCTCTAGCAGTCCTTGAAAGTGCCTCTACATGTCTGTCTGAGTCAAACCAAGGCGAGAAGTTCACAGGGCAAACTCTCTGACCTGGAGGAAGGGTTTTTCTTAATGTAGCTTTGCTGCCATACTGTTCTATCCTACAGAAAGAAGGTCACAGATACGAGATGCTGTAGAAAGCGACCTTGTCCCGCTGTCTCCTCTCTTAAGTTGCCGTACCAAGCTTAAGAGGATGAAGGTGAGGAGGCTTTGTACTGCAACAGTTGTGTGAAGTGAACCGGTGCTTCTTCGGTCACACCAACAGGCGCACAAATTGAACCCTTTAATGTGCTTTTTTTTTTTTTTAAATAAGCGCTTACCTGCACCTGCTACCTTGAACCTGATTTCTGTCTGTCAGGAAGATCAAATGTGTGTGTACAACGTAGATTCACAACCAAACCAGTTTATATACAACGGTAGTTTTTACATTGGTGGACAAAATCAGTGCTTCGCATCACTAAAACTACTGAGATAAACACATTTAAAACGCGCCCAGCTTGGGATGTAACGTCAGAGCGACAGGTCTGCCTTTAATCGTATTGGTAGCTCCACATTTTGTTTTAGTGTTGCACAGTGATATAATAACTGACAACTGGAGACATGCAGATAGTTTGGACTCAGAAACCGTTTAAAAATACAGAGTTTTAATGTTCAATCTACAGCAACATTATGTTTTTATAATCTGGGAGTAAAAGGACAACCAGAGGGAGGTTTGTTTGTATACTCTGTGATGCTCTGCAGATCCTTTATCTATAAGTAGCTACATTTAACCTATTAAAAAATTGCACACAAATATGTGTGCAATTTTAAATTTTTTTATTTCACATATGTGCAATTTACTTTAAATATTTTCCCTTACACTCCACGGCACACAGCTTTAGTTGGGCTCCTTCTGCAAATTCAGATTATTAAAACAAAATACACCCAGTGTTCACTTTATTTATAGTCTGATGTAATCCAATACAATCTGTCCACTGTTGTGATATTCAGTGTTTGTTTTGACACTGTCATACAATAAATAAATCATATGTTATAGCACTGAGGTCATAGTGACTGAATTATACAAGAGGTGATTCTAATATTCTTCCTCCCTGTGAATTAAAAAAACAGTATGACCTTAGTAATAAACATATAATTGAATTTACACAGTAAGACAAAAACTGAGCATTATGAGCACTGTTATGGTAGATGTTTTGGTAGATGTTATGGTGGAGCTGTTGTATTGGATTGTGGTAGCCTATATAGTACACGTGTAGGTTATCCAATAAAGTGTATAATAATATAACTAAATCATGGTGTATTATTAGAGATTAAAGCTACCATATAATCTAAAATAAGCGTTTGCTGCAACATTAGTGATGCTTATGTGTCAATATTGAATTATCAGTAATATATATGATTCTGCGTAATGAGGCTACTCGTTTATTTTTATGCCTAAATTTTAAGTGTAAAATTATTATTTTCTACTTCTTCCTCGCTGCTGTCCCTGAAGTGCCCTCACAATTCACCTTTAAAGTTCTCTGTCTGGACATTTTGCATAAAGATAAAAAATTATATATAGCCTATACTGTAGAATAATAATAATAATAATAATAATAATAATAATAATAATAATAATAATAATATAGCAACAATGGAGGCCTAACTCTGTTTTCCTTCCCAACACGCCTCCTGAAGTGGTCGAGGTCCCTCAGCAGGGGAACTTGTCTCTTTCAGCGGGGCTTTTGTTCTCCATCCTCTTCGTTTGTCATCCAAAGCACTCTCCATCCTCTCCGCACTCAAACTAACCCTTTTTTTAAACCCCCCACAATGCTTGTTGTTTACCAGGTTAAACCAGAACTCACTGGATGATCTTTTGAAAAAAAAAAAAAAAAAACAGCATCAAAATAGTTTGTTCTGAGGACCAACTGAATCCACAGCGGACGTTTGTGTCGGCTCATTGTGCGAAGGCCGCGAAGTTATATCAAAATATTCCTTAACAAACCCCTCAGTGTTTCCCTACAGTGGAAATGAAGCTATTCCGAGGCTTTTGTGCATGTGTGTGTGTGTGTGTGTGTGCGCGTGCGCTTCGTCACTTACTATTATACACAATACTATTG